TATTGTATTTTACTTATATTTATAAATTATATTAATACTTTACTTATATTTATTAAAGTTGTTTCTTATGATATTTTCGATTTTTTTAAATAAAAATGTTAAATATATAAATTTAGTTTGACAATTAATGAATTGAAAAGATAACTCTCACCCGTGAACAAAAATAACATATATGTACTAGTAGTGAACATGTACAAAATTTAAATTGTAATAAATAAATAAAACGTTATTATCGTTAAGGAACTCTCCTTAATTTTATTTTCTGTTAAGTAATTCTCTCTTAAAACATGACTAAAGTACTTCGTTATCAACTTTAATAGTTTTGTTATTATGACTATTAATTATTTTTTGCTAGTTTCGTTCAATAACATTATTATTACACAAATCTTTCAACAAAATAAATCTTATTATAAAAGCATTATTATCATAAAAAATGACAATAACTCTCATGTAGATGCTCCAAAATTCTTCTCAGTCAAACACATTGACAAGCACAAAATGCTGTTATGAACTATGTTTATGTTGTGGATAAGCTAACCACATATCTTTTTTATGACCAAAATATTGCACCATCTCCCAATTTGAAAACATAACCAGATGTGTTATTTCTATCGTCTAAATCCCTTGCATAATCACTATCAGGCAAATAATTTTACATTTCCTCCAGTTTTATAAAAAATTCTTAAATTTTGAGTTCGTTGCAAATATCTAAAAGTACGTTTTGCTTCTAGGAAGTGTCTTTAGGATGCTACATGAAGCTATTAATCACGTTAATTGAATGTGCAATATACGGTCTAGGAACATTTAGATACATAAGGTTTCTTATAGGTCGTTTGAATAGAATATAGTCCAATTTTGTCCCTTTATCTGTTTTCAGCAATTTAATACTCCGAATAAGAGGATTCTGAACTAAATTACAGTAAAACATATAGAATCTGTCCAACACATTCTTGATATATTTTCCTTTTCATAAATAGAGTGTGTACATGTGGACATTTTAAAAAATCATTAACTACAACATAAGACCCCAACCTGTTCTATCAGGCTATAGGAGTCTGTTTAACACCATACAAGACTTTTCTAAGTTTGTATACCTGATGTTTATGTCCTTTAGAGAGACATAGTATGTGGTTGTTCTAAGTTTAAGTTTGTATAATTCACATCCCTTAGAGACATAGCCCTGTGTTGTTCTAAGTATACATTTCTATTCATTGATTGCCCCATGTGAGAAGGCTGACTTGATATCAAGCTGATAAATGTTCCACCTTTTTGTGGTTGCTAATGCAACAATAGTTCTAATGGTTTCCAAACGAACTACTCGTGTAAAAATCTCGCTATAAGCGATGCCCTCTTCTTGAATGTATTTTTTTGCTACTAGTTTGACTTTAAATTTGTCAATCTCTCCTGTCTCCTTCAATTTTGTCTTGTAAATCCACTTAACACCTATAATTTTGCAATTTGGTGGTGGATCAACTAGCTTTCATGTATCATTTGTTTGAATGGCTTGAAATTCGTGATCCATGACATCTCTCCAATGTTGACTATGTGATGCTTGATGGTATGCATTTGCAAACATTGTAAAATTTATAACATCTTCATTAATGAAATCATCATCAATGACATAACATTTCATCCAGGTTGGTGGTCTTTTAGTCCTCCCTTCAATTGGAAGGGCTCTTGCTGGAGAATCAGAGGTTGACCCTCCTTCAATTGGAAGAGCTCTTGCTGGAGAATTAGATGTTGAGTCCATCTCTGTTGTATTGACGGTTATTATTGCATCAAGTTTATTTGGAATATTTCCTCATTTGCTTGAGGAAATTCTTACACCGGTCTAGCATCAATCATTCTATTAGTTTCTGCTTCACTCCAATCCCAAGCAATATACTTTTGAAATTTGATACCGCTACTGATATGAATCTTCTTATTAATAGGATTATATAGTTTGTAGGTTTTAGACTCCTCACTTATACCCAACAACACATCTTTAATACTTTTTTCATCCAATTTTCTCCTTTTTAGTCATTAATCAAGTATATGAACAAATCCAGTGCAACCAAAAATTCTGAAGTAAGAAATAGATGACTTAAATCTGCTTCATGCTTCTTCGGGTGTGATATTTTTTACAAAGAATTGTGTAACTTTTCTTTCTATCAAAAGACTTCGAACCATACTTATAATGGTATGATTCTACCCATACTTTCCTACTAAAATCATCAGCGAAAGTGAGTAGGTACTTTGATTCCCATTAGACGTAGGATTGATGGGCCACATATATCAAAATGGACTAGTTGGAACATTGAGATGCAAGTCAATTGCTTTGACGTGGAAAAGGATATCTTTGATGCTTCCCTTTAAGACAATGTTGACACAATTGAGTTAGGTACTTTAAGGTAGGCAGCCCTTTCACCATATCATGCTTTATTCCAATCCACTATAACTTAAGTGACTCTAACGAGAATGTCATACTTGAGTTAGTGTTGGTGTTGAACTTAATTTAAAGCAATTGTAAGAAATTTCAGATTTTATAGAAATAGCAAATATGTGGTTAGTAGTCATTGATGTTTTAACTTCACACTAAATAAATTATTCTTTAATTCAAGAACATAAAATATATCTGTAACCATATGTATAACTTTATTAGTTAGTAATTTAGCCTTGTCATTCCCTGTCACCTTTAAAGCATAGTTATTCTCCAACTTCACCTTATCACAAAAAAACAAAATCCATATAAGAAAATCAATAATTTCTGCCTATCATGTGATTACTGCAACCGAATCAATGAACAACATATCTTGTGTAATTGATTATTCATTTGTTGGAAGTTGCGCCATGAGTAACACGACTTCTTCACCATCTTTAACATAATTTATTCTGCTATCCCAAGATTTCTTTTGACATTCATATTGGAAGTGTCTGAATTCATGGCAGTAATAACACTTTATTGTTGTCTTATTCATAAATTGTTTACCTCTTCTCCTTCTTCCTCTTGCATATGCTCTTTGGAAAATATTTTTTCCCTATCCAAATTGTCTACCTCTTCCTCTTGCATATGCTCCTTGAAAAACACTTCTTCTCTGTCCATTATCTGTGAAACCTTCAATACTTGCTCTTCAGGATAATTGTGCTTATTCATTGTCTGTTCATGCACTAATAAACTACTTTGGAGTTCATCTATAGTCATGGAATCTAAATCATGAGAATCCTCAATGGAACCTAAACGAAGAATTTTTTTTAATAACAATAAAGTCATATACATACTAACCTTACATTCTCATCTTGTTTGCAATTGTGAGAGTCTGAGCAAAGTAATGATTCACTATTCTTCATCTCCAGAATCTCTCATGAGCATTTAATTGAGCTCGCTTCATCCTTGCAATGCCTTCATATTTTTATTTCAATGAATCCCAAATTTCTTTTGACGTTGTCTTCGAGATTGTTTCAAGCACTGTTCAATCAATAGCTTGAAACAAGTAGTTTTTCACTTTTAAATCGTTTAATTTCAACTCCTCTAGAGTATTTCCATCATTATCTGATAAACACAGCCTCATCTGCATGTTGTGAAATTTCAGGAACTACAAGATTTCATTACTTTTTTACCTTAGGAAGTTATTCATTAGCAATGCTCAATAGTCGTAATGTTCGTTCAACTTTAGAATTGCAGGTTACACGAAATTATTGTTTGTGCTGACCATGATAGAAGTCTGTAGCTTCTTTTCGGTGAAAGTTGAAATTGGCTCTGATACCCAAAAAACTTAGTTCTCTTATTTCTTCGTAAAATAAAGAAGATAGATTTAGTTTTACAATTGATGAATTGTAAAGATAAACATGTACTAACAAACTCTCATGTATTAACAAAACAACGTCTACATACTAACAGGTTGTGAACCACTTAAAAAATTTAGACGATCTACAACAAACAATATAGATGCATTAATATTAAATAAATTGATTTTTTTTTCATAATATATAATAGATAAATTAATAAATCATGAGTTCAAAAGATATAATTAAATTTAATAACAAACAAATAAAACTTAACATCTTAATTCTCTTACTTTAAAGTTTAATAGATGCATTAATATTAAGTAAATTGATTTCTTTATATTTTTTTCATAATATATAATAGATAAATTAATAAAAACATGAGTTCAAAAATATAACTAAATTTAATAAAATGTTTTTATAATATAATAAATTTATTAAAATTAATTTTTTTATAAAAAAATAATTACAATAAAAAATTGTTGTTATGATTGTAATAACAATCAAACTTATAAATAATAAATGTAATAAAAATAAAATATTAATATTGATGAAAATAAAATAAAATATATTAAAATAATAATTATTTAAATTTATTATGACTTATAATATAAAAAGAAAAAAAAGTATATTTTTATTAAAAATATAACTTTTAAAAATTTTTAATCTTTAATATTATTTTTATCATAATTAACTTAAAATTTCAATCGATTTTTTTTTATGATTTATACTGATTTAATTAAAATTTAATTATTTAAAAATAAAAATAATTTTTAAATCGAATTAAACCGTTTAACATATTGATTTGATCTAATTTTCACGTAAGTTATTAAGAATATTGAAAAAAAAAGTTTTAATATTTATCATCACTAAATATATATTATCTTTTATAAATAACTAAATAATATTTTAATATAATATCAAAATCACTTAATTTAGCAAGGAAAATGTATTATTAAATTTTGATTGAAACTGTGAACAAAATTAATGAAAACAAAATTGAATTTAGACGTAAAAAAACGATATTTTAATAATTAAATATGAATTGTAGGTATAATTGTTAATTAGATATATATTTTATACACTTAATTATGAATATATCGACACATTTTACCTGTAAAAGAAATTATGATTAACAAACGAAGTTAAAAGATATGAACAAAAGAAAGTAAAATAGAAATATGATTAAATAAAAAATATTGATAAATGTTTGTTAACTAATTTTCCAATATAAGTAGAGAGCATTGCTGTGGATTAGAGGCACCCAAAACAAAACAAAACAAGAGTTGAAGATACAAGATACATTAGTGATGGCATTCTCCATCTTCAAACTTCTTCTGTCGTCATTCCTTCTCTGCACTTTCTTCCACGAACCCACCAATGCCCTTAGAAAGGCAGGGAAGCTCTGCATTGCATTTTAGATCCTTCACTATGCTTTCTTATTCAACTATTTCATCGCTTTTTATCTCTGTTCATTTGCTTTGAATGCTCTGTTTTCAGACCTACATTGTGTACTTGGGAGGACACTCTCATGGTCCTGACCCTTCTCCCACTGATCTTCAAACAGCCACAGATTCCCATCATGATTTACTTGCTTCTGTCTTAGGAAGGTGAAACAACAATGAATTTATTCTGTCAAATAAATGTCCTTGGCAAGTAAGCAGTAATTAAAGTTTGTTAATTTAACAGTCATGAGAAGGCAAAGGAATCAATCATGTACTCTTACAATAAGCATATTAATGGCTTCGCGGCCCTACTTGAAGACGAAGAAGCATCAGAGATTGCAGGTAACCGAAGACTGATTATGTAATTACTACCATCACGCCCATCATTTACTATTCATCTTCAAGACACATAATCTTGTTTCGATGCAGAGAATCCGAACGTAGTTTCTGTTTTCCTGAGCAAAGAGCACAAATTGCACACTACCAGGTCATGGAAGTTTCTTGGGCTGGAAAATAATGGACGAGTTCCTGCAAACTCTGCTTGGAGTAAGGCAAAATTTGGAGAAAACATAATCATAGCTAATATCGATACAGGTATCCTTGATGTTTATTTCAAAATATATGTCATATAATTTTATGATTCGGCGAATGAGAAATAATCTATTTCAAAAGTGTGTTTTACTTCATCGTAAAGAAATAATAAAATCATAAATTAATTTCTATAATCACTATAATAATTTTTAATAAAGTTTTTAACTTGTGTACATAAATTAATTATAAAAAACTCCTGTTAATTGTCATCAAAAAATTTATTTAAACAAACTTTAAGTTTAATTTGGTTGTAAAAAGAAGTTACATGAAATAAAGTAAAAAAATATATTTATTTATTGAAGAACAAGTCAAATTGTTATTAAAAACTAATAAATAATTAAATTAAAATTAGTTAATGTTTTTTTTAAGAGACGAAATATAGATAATTTTTAAAAATACCAATTGTTTATATTATATACAAGTAAACATTAAAATATGTAGAATATAATAAAAAATCATATTTGTCTTTATTATTTTTATTAAATTATATATATTATATAATATTTTACACTTTTTCTTTGATGGATACATATGTTTGGACATGTAATCATTTAATCACAAACCACGTTAAATTTATTTTAAATTTGCTGTTTCAACAGCCACTGTCGTTCCTCTTTGACTACTTCAGTATATAGTCTAACAGATAATAATTTTTTTTTTTTCTCTACCTAGTTACAAACGACACATTCTAATACGCGGGTACATATTGTTTCTTAAGGTAGATACATTTTAATAGTGGTTGTATACTTGAATAACAAGGAATGAAAGTATGAAAAACATATTTTTATTTATTTAAGAGAAAAATAATATAAAATTAGAAGAAATATTTATTTTAAAAAATAATTAAATTAAAAATTAAACATCTATTTAATTATAAAATTATGTATATAATTGTTAATTAATTTTTTATTAATAAAATAGTTTTTAAAATAACATATTTAAATTTATATCTTACTTTCAATAATATATATTTTGATATATAATTATCAAATATTTTTATTATAAATTAAATTAATAAAATAATATTATATTACAAACATATAAAAAATATATATTAAATTATTTATTTAATTTTTATAATCACTTATTTATATATTTATATATTTATATATATATTAAAATTATAATTATAAATATAAAATAAGATAATTATTTATTTAAATAAAAAATCAGATAAGATCGGTCGGTTCAACCAGTAAGAGAACCAAATTAAAAACCGATATATTATTTTTAAATAACTAAATTTTAATAAATAAAAACAAAATAAAATAAAAATGACTGAATTTTTTAATCCAATTTTAATAATAAAAAATAAATTTAAAATCAAAATTTTTTAATATAATTTATTTATAAAAATATAATTTAAAAAAATTATTTAATAATATATGTTAAGTTTAAATAATAATTATTTTTTAATAATTTTTTAATATATTTTATATTTATAACTTATATTATATTATATGATAATTATGATAATAATTTTTTTATAAAATAATAATTATTAATTAACTTATTATATATTTATTATATCATAAAAATATTATTTTTATTAAATTTAGTTAGCCTTTATTTAATCTTTACATCAACCCATATTTTTACCCATTCAATAAGCGGTCCAATTTCTAAAACATTGTATTTAAATAAAGATAATTTTATAAAAAAAAATCATTTTTTATACTCGTAAAAGAATATGGAAAATAAACATATAAACAATAACATTTTCTATATTTTTTAATTATAAAAAAATTCTTTTCATTTATTTTCTTATATTAATCACTTTTATTCTATATTTTCCCAACCTACAAACCAATATAGTGTTAATTAGTATTTATGTTTGTAGAGAAATTCATAATTTTAATATGAGTTTGATTATATTGTAGAGAGTATTTTCTAAATGTTTTGAATTTTTGTTTAAAAAATAATACAAACCTTATATATCTTATATTGTTGTTAAAAAAAGAAAAAAAAAAAAAAACTCAATGATAACTGATATTGTCGTGTTCTGTAAGAAATTGCATGATGCAAACTATATTTTAAGGTTAGTTCTCTTACTTCTGAGCAGGAGTTTGGCCGGAACACCCCAGTTTTAGTGACAAAGGATACGGGCCAGTGCCTTCAAAGTGGCGTGGGAAAGATGTTTGTCAGATTGACAGTTTTAATACTACACAGAAATATTTCTGTAACAGGTCATTTTTAAGATATAATCTCAACGTGTGAATGTTTATCATTGAGAAGTTGTGTTGTGGGTGGGTAACATTACAGAAGCTAACATAGTAGAATATTCAGGAAGCTGATTGGAGCAAGAATTTTCCTGAAGAATCACGAGGCGGAAGTCGGGGAGGTTGAAAGATCGTTACGCAGTGCACGTGACTTCGTAGGGCATGGCACCCACACTCTATCAACGGCAGGTGGTAATTTTGTTCGTGGTGCGAACGTAGAACGTAACGGCAGAGGCACTGCTAAGGGAGGGTCCCCAAGAGCTCGCGTTGTGGCCTACAAAGCATGCTGGGATAAACTCGACACAGGAGGGTGCCACGAAGCAGATTTCCTAGAAGCATTTGATCACGCCATATACGACGGCGTTGATGTCATCTCCGCCTCTATTGGTTGGTCCACTCCCTACCAGGAAGCTTTGTTAACCGATGGTATTTCCATTGGATCATTCCATGCAGTAGCAAAAAATATACCCGTTATTTGCTCTGCTGGCAATGATGGCCCCTCACCTTCATCCGTCACTAACGTCGCACCCTGGTCCTTCACCGTTGCTGCCAGCACCATGGACAGGGATTTCCTCAGCAACATTTCTCTTGGCAAGAATAAATACTTTAAGGGTGGCAGTCTTAATCGAGGCTTCCCACAACCCGCTCGAAAGTTCTATCCCGTTGTTTTTTCTGTCAACGCAAGACTTGATAATGCCTCTATTAATGATGCGTAAGCTGTATTTTTTATTTTTTATTTATTTCCTAGGCTTGCTTCAAACATTTATACGTGTATGTTGGTGCAGTCTTGTTTGCAAACCGGGAACACTTGATCCTGCCAAAGTAAAGGGAAAAATACTTGTCTGCATTCGAAGTGATAAGTTACAATCGGTTAAAGAGGGCGAACAGGGTAAACTTGCTGGCGCCGTGGCAGTTTTTGTGCAAAATGATGAACAGAGTGGAAATTTGCTTCTGGCTGAAAATCATGTTATTCCTGCTGCAAGTATAAGTGGAACGGAGACTAATTACACCAATACTAGCCATATAAATGGTACAGGCAGCAGGTAAGTTCACATATCATTAATTCCTTAGAAACGTCGTATTCTATGTATATATAGGCTGAAGTACTTGATTAATTTATTTATTTATATATTGTTACAGCATGTTTGCTTACTTGACTGCTGCAAAAACATACCTAGGAGTAAAGCCAGCTCCAATCATGGCTGGATTCTCGTCTAAGGGTCCTAGTGTCGTGCAACCGTTGATATTAAAGGTATATGATAATATAAATATTTTCATGGGAAGATGATTTTTCATTTTTAAGGTACTTTTGTTTGTTATTTTTTTCAGCCTGACATAACTGCTCCGGGTGTGGGTGTAATTGCTGCTTTTACACAAGCCGCGGGCCCTTCTAATCTTGAATCAGATACACGTAGGACTCTTTTCAATGTGGACCAGGGAACCTCTATGGCTTGTCCTCATGTTGCTGGCATTGCGGGTCTTCTGAAAGCATACCATCCTACCTGGAGTCCAGCAGCGATCAAATCAGCTATTATGACTACAGGTACACCATGCTTAACAAAATCCTTTCTCTCATGTACAAAATACAAAATGTTCTTATTAACAACAACAACAACAACTATGCTCTTCACTAATTTCAGCTACAACACTTGATAACACCAATCGACCCATTCGGGACGTGTTTGATAAGGAAGCAACTCCATTCGATTACGGTGCCGGACACGTTCAGCCTAACCTTGCAATTGACCCTGGACTCGTTTATGATTTAGGCACAACCGATTACTTGAACTTCTTATGTGCTTCTGGTTACACCCAAGCTTTACTCAAGTTGTTTGGCAATTTCAAAACCTCTTACAAATGTCCCAAGTCTTACAGAATCGAAGATCTCAACTACCCTTCTATCACCGTGCATCATCCTGCGTCAAAGCCTATATATGTTACTCGCATTGTTACAAACGTTGGACCTCCAGCCACATATGTTGTGAATGTTCACGGGCCCAGGGGGATCAAGGTTCGTGTTCAACCACCCTCCTTGACTTTTAAGAAAACTGGAGAAAAGAAGAGGTTTCAGGTTATTCTGCAGGCAATTACAGTGCCCCGTGGGTTCCCATCATTTGGGAATCTGGCTTGGACAGATGGCAAACACAATGTAACCAGTCCTATCACAGTCCTGTAACCTTAGAGATTACTCCCATCATTCTCGTTTCTGTGTGTTTGCGTTTGCTATTGTTTAGACTGTATTTTAGGTGTGTTTCCTACATTGCATTCAACAACTTTGTCACAAAAATAAGGTTAGAATGTTGAGGCATTGAACTTTGTTGCATTGGAACTATGTATTTAAATGGTACAATGTGTATCCTTCCCAATAAATAAATGGTTTTGACTCATCCAATCAACAATTGTCTTCAACACTCATTTCCCTTCTTTCTATTTTATTTTTCATTCAGGCAATCATTTTAGTTTTAATAATATCCTATCCTTAAAAACGCTCTCATTTAACGATGTTTTCATAGTCTATGCTCGTATGATTCTTTTTTTCTACCCATCTTTTTTACTTTATTTTTATCTATTCAACACCAATTGAATGTTGTATTTTGCGCATGTGTGTGTGTGTTTTTTTTTAATATTTCTATTTGATAATTAAATTTGATAGTTTTTTTTTAATTTGATAAAAAATTGTTTATTTACTTCTCTAATACAAATAGTGTTAAGATTTTTTTATATAAATAATGTTAAAATTTATTTTATTATGTGATTAACAAATCATAACTCTATGGATTATAATTTATTTTAATTTTATATTTTGTTATCAATATATATTTTAAGTATTTATTTTAGTTGTTAAGGTTGGTAGAAGACGTTTTGACAAATGAAACTAAAACAATTTTTTTCCATCCAAATTACAAATTAAAATATTGATTTTAATTTTTTTAAAATATTCTAAATTAAAGATGAATAAACCACATAGTACATTAGTAATTATCAGTGGAAACAATTAAAGTGCTGTATAATTATTTGTTTATAATTTTTTAATTTAATTTTGTTTTTCTTTCTCTTATTTTCTAGATGTATTATATGTTTTTTCTCCACTTATTATATATTACTTTTTTACTCTAAAATAATTAAAAAATGAAATATTTTTATTTATAGTATAATTGAAAGAAAAATATTCTTTTCTCCACTCTTTAAATATATCCTACATTATTCACTCATTATACATATTTTTAGTTGAAAAAAATGAAATTCCTTGGTATATATTATTACAGTGGATATTTAATAATATTTTAAATTTTTACCTATAAGTTAAATTACATCTATACAATAACATATATATAAAATGATATTATATTTTGATAAAAACTTGTGGACTTCAATGAAAAGTCAAAACTTATAATTTAACAGTTGAATTAATAAAGTTTAATATGTAGAAATAATTATTTTTCTTCTTCATTCTATATATGTATGTCTTTTTGATATCCACAAAGTCTTTATTCAATCACTCTTATAATACTATTAACAATGTTTGATTAATAATAACTTTCTTAAAAGTCAAACACTCTTCATGATATAAAAAGCATAACTTTATGAATAAAAATGTCAGTAAAACTAAATTCTCACATGCATTAATGTTATGTTATGTACACTAGATCAAGTGAGCATATACAATGATTTTTAAAGGCATTACAGTGGATTTGGTTTCAGATTACACAAAGATGACTTAGAACAAAAGAAACTTGTTTCCTTAGAATTTGTATAGGAATAAGATCACATGAAGATAGAGAAGTGGGAAGAATATGGGGCGGCTAAGGTGCAATGAATGCAAATCAGAATAGTGGGGTGAAGCATATATTTTGCACGCTGACTTTCATAGTATGGTATGAAAATTTGAAAATCTTGTGTAAGCATAGTTTTCAAAACCAAAATATTGTGAACCTTAGTCATACTCTTTATGAACATGAGGGTTTGATCTGGTTTTAAAAAGGTTTTAAATTAGGAAAATTATTTATGCATAAAATATGGAAGTATACGAGGAAGGTTTTTACTTTTGTTGAGGTAAAAACTAAAAACCAAGCATCAATATATCCTTTTGACGTTGACAATATTTGTCCCATTAACATATGACACATCATGGATAATAAAATAAACATTAATATCAGTGGATGCACTAGTGGAAAAAGGGGCTTTAACGTCACTCAATTGTCGTCGCATGTAAAAATATTCGACGTAAATAAAACGCGGTGGCAATTTTGTAAATAAGAGAGAAAACTTTTACGTCGCACACCCCAGCATGCGACGTAAAAAGCCTCTTTTACGTCGCACCTACGTGGCGCGACGTAAAAAGAAGGCTTTTTACGTCGCGTGGTGGGGTGCGCGACGTAAAAAGTGAAAAAGTCTCTTTTATTTCCCTCCCAGCCCACTCCCTCATCTCGCGCAGCAAGGGTTTTTGAGAACGACGACGAGAACGACAACAACAACTACCTCTGCACATCATTTTCGATCAGTTTGACAGTGAAAAACATCACCATTGTGTGTCATTTGACGAACTTGATATTTCTCCCCGATTGGATTCGAGTTTGAAATCATTTTTCGTCTACACTCGAGGTTAATGTTCTATGTCATTGATATATGTTTAAATTGAATCTGTGATTGTTTTTGGGGATCTCAATCACGTTATTGTATGAATGTCTCCACTGGATTGTTATTGGAATGTAATTATTTGTTTGAGTGCATTTTCGGTTTACACACTCCATTTACGTGATTTGTTGTTTGTATATTAATTTCTTTTTACATATAATTTTTAAATCTCTAGGAGTGACGAAACTTTATAACATAATATGAATCGAAGTTGGATGAATGCACGTCGTATTAGTGAAGAGTACGAAAAGGGAGTTGAGGAATTTTTGAAATTTGCTAGTGAAAATGGAAAAGCTATGAAAGGGACATATTATTGTCCATGTGTTCGTTGTTTTTCAGGATATGTCGGATTCCACATCTGGTACTGGTAGTGGTAGTGGTAGTGGCAGTGGCAGGAGCGGAAGTGGAGGTAAAGGTAGATCTGTCACTCGGTTAAAGGGGTTGACAACAAGGAGGGTAGCTAGAGAGAAAACTCAAGTTGAAGTTGATCCACGTTCTGGTAAGGCATCTGGCCCAAATGCTGCTAAGTTTAAGAGCTATTTGGGACTACTAGCTCGACACCATGTTCCGATTACTACTCCATCTTGGGATGATGTAGAGGAAACCGAGAAGAACCTCATGTGGCAGGATGTTCAGGTATTTCTATATTTGTTGAATACTTTATATATCATTATTAATTGAATTTAACATTTATTGGTCATTTCACAGCAAAATTTTGATGTTCCTAACACTAAGGTGATGAGGAAGAAGGTTTTATCCTCCATTGCCATTAGATGGAGGGACTTTAAGACTTTCTTGACACGGGAGTATGTATTTGGAAAGTTTCAAGATGAATCTCCCTGTCTAAAGTATCAAATTAGTGAGGAGGATTGGTTACAGTTTTGTGCCAGCCGAGTGGACCCCTCTTGGCAGGATAAAAGACGTGTTGCCCAAGCACGTCGGAGGTTGAATGATGCACCCCATGTATTGTCACGAGGAGGGTATGCATTATTGGAGCAACATCTCATGAAAGCCGGAGAACGATCGGCGAGGAGTTGATTCTACCGACCTTGTATCTCCACCCCTCGCTATGAGATGTGGAAGGCAGCCGGACAAAATCCGATGGACAAATGACTTCGAGTCCGCACGAATCATTGCTCGAGAAAATTGTAAGTTATAATGTCAATTTGAATTGATTCTAATGTGAAAGTTAGTGTATGACTTAATTATTGTTAATATGTTGTAGGATGATTTAGTTGAAGCAGAGCACCCAAGGATCATTTATTTCTCATGGTCGACAAGATATATTGGCGACAACCATAGGAAAACCAGATTACTCGGGACGTGTGCGTGGTGCCTGGTGGATCCCGGGGCTTTCGTGATTACTTTGGTCCAACATCACGAAGGACCACTTCTCGACTCTTGCGACCGGGAGGCCTTGCATAAAATGGAGATGCAGTTTGAAGAAAAGTTGAATCAAATAAGGCGGTCCTTGCGGCAAGAGTTTGATGAGAAAATTGAATCTCTCGCCCGCTCTCGGCAACGGACTCAAGGAACACCTCAAACAATTGAACATGATGTTGTTCGAGTCGGCACTAAAGGGAGTTGTGCTCTGCTACTGCCGTCGATCCTTCGGGAGAATATACTCGGATCGATGTATCACACCGAGTGTGAGTTATATGTTGAAGATGACCCCGCGTCTAGTGGCTATTGGTCGAGTTTTTGAGGGTGGTTTAACCATCCATGGTGTCCCTCTATAGGCGGACTGGACGCGAGTAGTAGTTGATGAAGTTCATGATGCTAATGCTCCGAGTGCCTTTTCCTAATGAAGAGATTCAATTAGTGGGGCGGGCAAGCGGGACATTCTTGGCTTGGCCAAGACGTTTGGTTATGCCACTATCGAGCACTGAGACCAAGGTAATATATATATATATATATATATATATATATATATATATATTGTCTATTTTCTCTTTTATAGTATTATAATTATATAAATGTTTAATTAATTGTTATCTTTTGTTTAGGAGGACTTGCGTCGTGCTAAGCATAAAAAACAACCTATTATTGATGAGGATTTGACAGAATGTGATGATGATCTCATCTCAATGTTGTTGACCATATTACCACGGTTGAGTAAGAGACCGTGTCAGATAATATGGGATGTTAGAGTGTTTGAAATTGACAATTCTAGTGTTCCATTATACATTTCCTTGCCCGATGCTTTAGAAATTGCTTGGGGAAATTGCATGTTAAACATTTCCATCATACAATTGTGGGCAATGTAAGTCATTCTCATTTATGTTTCTAAGATTATAATAATTATATTCAACTTATAATTAATTGTTTTAGGTACATTGACAAATTGAGTGTGGAACAAGAAAAATCCGAAGTATAGGGATTTATTGAGCCTCAATCCATCCAAAAATCTGGAAATACAAAGGTTAGAATCCAACAATATATGCAAACATGGATGAGTGACTCAAAAAGACATATATATTTGGCTCCATACATTGAAGGGTTAGTATTTTAATTTGTATTTTAATTTATATTTTTGTAACTAATTTTTATGTCATATAATGTAGATCCCATTGGCAGTTAATTGTAATCATACTACGGGATTACACTGTGGTGTGGTTTTGTTCATTACATCGGAAACCGAGTCAAGAAATGAAAAGTTTATTACAAGGGTAACTTTATCTTTTATTCATTAATTATGTTTTTAAATTGTAAATACATATTGAATAATATATAACTTTTTTTCACTTAGAATCGTGTCTGGAACTAATGTTCTAAGTGGAAAACCTAGAACAAAGACTTTGCAGTTCATTTATCCTAAGGTTAGAAACTTATTTATATAAGTGAATACCATAATTATTGTTTGTATTTAAATTTTGAAAATAACATTATGTTTTTTTTGCATCATTTCAGATGTAATAAGCAAACAGACTCGTTTGAATGTGGTTACTATGTTATGTATTGGATGAGAACCATTGTTTGTGCGAGTATAAATGATTCTTGGACGGAGGTAATTGTTTTTAACATTAGTTAAGTTTATTTAACTTTATTCATGTTGCATGTTTACAATAGTCAAATTAATGTTTCAGGTATTTCAAGATCCATCTCCATTACCAGAATATGATATTACCCAAATTCGAGAACAATGGGCAAAATTTTTTGTTCAACAGTTCTAGTACATAATTTTTTAAGTTCTTGTTCATATTATAGTGTGTATTATGTAGTTTAGATAGCTTAGTTTGTATTAACTTTTAGTTTGTAATAGATTTTTTAGGTTGTATGTTTGTATTATATTCTTTTATTCTGTAGTTTGAATTATATAATATTATATTTTTAATTTACTAGCTACAGAAAATTGAACCTCTGGACTGTCTGGTTGTAATATATATTTGCAGGTTTTAGTTGTAAAACAGAATCAATCCAATTTTAAAAAAAAATACAACAAATTTACGTCGCATATTGGTATATACGACGTAAATTTACGTCGCATATTGGTATATGTGACGTAAATTTACGTCGCGTATACCAATATGCGACGTAAATTTGCTGTTTTTATTTAATTTCTGAAAGTTTTTACGTCTGTTTAATGATATATGCAACGCAAAATTACATCGGGTCTTGATAACTAATGTAAATTTACGTCGGGCTAAAGGATTCGACGTAAATTTACGTCTCCCATTTTAACGTCAATCTTAAATACGACGTAAAAAATCCTAAATACATCACGTAAAAGGCCATTTTTTCAGGAGTATCTTGAGAATACTTTGCTCCACTGTCTCTCCCTAGCATTCAATCAAAATTTTGTTTTCACACGTAAACTTGTACCTTTCATCCAGCTTTAGGGTATCGTTAAGTACCAATCCAACAGTTGTCTACCTCCACACACCCTAAAGTCCTAAACCGAGAACAATTTGCAGCACGCAAAAACCAACCAAGATGGGTAAAAGAGGTTTTGTGGGGTGTGTGTTCTCTATGATCTATGGCTTCTTCGTCTTAAGCTTTGGTACCACCTCAAAGGCTCAAATGGTTCCTGCTGTGTACGTGTTTGGAGACTCACTTGTGGACGTTGGCAACAACAATTACCTCACTCTTTTCTTTTTCTCTCTTTAGGAACAAGGGCATAAAATGTCAACTACAAATTTGCTTTGCCCTTGCTTTTTACGAACAAAGTGGACAAATTAAGCAGCTTTTTTGGTTCTTGGAGATAATATGGACAGGGGAGTTTCTTAGAAATTTGTTCCTTTTTAAAACAAAGGGGTGTGAGCAACCAATTGCCTTGGGAATAAAATGATCCCTTTCTTCCTCCCACAGTCATCATGGTGTAAGAATTAATGCTTATTCTAGTTTCAATTTCCTTCTTTGTTGTTTTGCTTCGTAGCTTCCTCGTAGCTTCATTTTCTCCATTTTTGTCATGGAAGGTAGTAGAAGTAGTGGTGGTCCTGATGGTGACTGCCTAAAACAACCAACACATATAAGGTTTAACAAAACAAAATAGATTTTAAATAAAATAAAACTCAATCTACACCCATAATAATGTATTTGTTTATTAATAATCATTAAAACCATATTGAACATGATTATTAATTGTTTAATAAGAAAAACAGCATACCAAAATCATTTTAAAAAAATTATTTTAAATGAAAAATGAAAAATAGATTATATATTTTTTAAATTTATGCTATATTAATAAAAAAATTGATTTTAATTATGTATTAAATACATTTATTATTTGGACAAACTTCTTTCAATGAAATCGATAAAAAAAAACATAAGAAAAAAAGTTAAAAAATTATAAGTTAAATTTAAAAAACTCTTATATTTATTTCGAACTGATTTATAAACTAATTTAAAGTTATAAAAAAATTTAATTATTTATTTTTCTTTCACAAAATCATTATAATAAAATTTATTGAAGCATATTCCACCAAGATACCGATGATAAAGTTGTCGGTGGCGTAACTACAGCTAAGGGTGATTATGCGAAGGTTGGAATTTGGAATTTGGAATGCATTACCTGCACTCATTCATTTCCGAGCGTTGGATGAATCAAATGGTTCAGTTTAATTCTCACTGATTTTTTTAAGACGGGTGATATATTTCTAAGTTATGTACTATTTAGGAAGTGCTTTTAATCATAACTAGTGTTTTTTAAGATATTCATTAATAAAATTCTTTTCGTGACTGATTTATTTTAGGAAAACGTAAAATAACTTAAAATACATGAAAAAGCGGAAAAGAGAAGGAAAGGAGAAAAACGCAAAATTAAGTGTGACTTCACAAATTGAAATTAAAGGTTTGCTTATAATAATTACATCAAATTAAGTGTGACTTCACAAAGTTATTATTAGAGCAAATTATGCGAGTTGTTTATATAAATAAGTTAGAAAAAATGTTTTGAATGTACAATTTAATGAATATGGTATTTAAAATATTAATATTGAAGTGGAAGATTTAAATTAAAATTTTAATTTAATAAATTTACTATTGTAGTTTTTTTAAGATACTTAAACCAATGTGATTTTGTAATAAAATAAATCCTCGAAATCAAGATAAATAACCAAGTGAATGTTCTAACATTTTAATTACTTTATAACAAATGCGAGAAACGTATAAATCTAGTTAACTTTTAGGCTAAATTGTTATTTTACTTTATCTATTTAAATACAAAATTGTATTCATTTCGTCTAATTCTTTGTTTTATATTTTTTAGGTAATTAAAAGTAATAATCAGCATTTAAAATTATATTTTCTACTTTCTAAATTTCATTTGTTGTAAATAGTTTCACTGTTCTATTTGTTTCAGATAATTGTTTTGAATAATTGGTTTCCTTTAGAAAAAATTGCATGTATGTTAATGCAAATCATTGTTTAAATTGAACTATAATTGATTTTTAGTCATTAATTTAATATGTTTAAACAAACTGTGCTCACATTTAATAATATAATTGGGTTTATACAAAAATACGAAGAGCTTTTTAATTCATGTTTTCACTCAAACTTTTTTACTGGAGGGATTCAAACTTAAAGTGGAAAATATTTAATGATATAAAAATAACAAAGATTCACTTAAAAAAAGTGATGATTTACTTTTTTATTTTTATCATTTGTTTTTTTAATTTATTAATAAAATAAAATTATTAGATTATAAAAAAAATAAGAATGAAAAGTAAATATCAAATAAACATTTACACGCAAAAATTATAATTATATATATATATATATATATATATTTTAAGTATTTCAAAAATATTATACATATTTATATTTATGAAATCATAAAATAATATTTATTTTTATAAAATATGATACTAAGGGATGAAAAATTCATTGGAGGGATGAAAATAATATATATTAAAAAGTGTTACTTTATTTTGAATAAATAATAATAACTATATGATGAGTTAAAAGTCCATAATATATTGGAATATCAACTAATTTTTTTTTAAATAAATTATTAACGATTGCAAACAAATTTCGAAATTTTAAACTATCCGTTATCTAATAAACTAAAATCTCCTTCATCATCAGTTACAAATTATTTTTGATAAACATCTATCTTAATAGGTAAGATGAATAAAAAATTTATTAATAAATAAGAACACATTTTTATTAATTTAAAAAAAATATTTTTGATAAACATCTATCTTAATAGGTAAGATGAATAAAAAATTTATTAATAAATAAGAACACATTTTTATTAATTTAAAAAAAATTATATAAAATTTGAACTAGTGACTAATCTTAACATTGAAATATTTAGATGAATCATATAACAAAAAAATCTCAAATATTATTTATTATGAGACATGTAGTTATCACGGTAAATAAAAATAAAAATGTCAATTTTAATAATTAATATTGATATAATTAACTCAATTAAGTACTCAAACTTTAAACAAATATTATTATTTATGATCCAAAATTGATAAATCTAACTATTATTGATTGGTTAAATATGTAATTTAGTCTCTTTATTTTTTAAAATATTTTAATATGATCCCAAAATTTTTAAAATTTGCAATTTAGACATGAATATTGAAATTGATGTCAATTTTGGACTCACCGTTATTTATGTTTTGACTCCGTTATATTAGATATCTAGTTGAAATATCAGTTCTGATATGATTAGGTGATTGGTTATAGTTACATAGCAGATTTGTCACGTCACATTACAATTGTAGGAAGTAAGGAATACGTCGACGATGGTCGCTTATCACTATTCCTCTCTCGTTACCGTCGTTCCTTCGTCGTCGCAGATCCCCCTTCCCTCGTCGCTGGGAACAACTCGCTCCTTCGATGTCATCACCGCAAACCTTAAATGAAACCAACCTCCTTCTCTTTCGTCACAGTTAATCTCACACATGCAACAATTGGAACCTAAACCCCCATTATTGTCACGAATGGAACTCTCACCTCCCCTGTCGTTGCATATCCTCTCATTTCTCTTACCCATTTGCACAAACTCTCAATTGTTCAAACCCTAAACATATCTGTGACCCTATTCCTTTTTTCCAACAATTTTAATTTGACTTGGTAAATCTGTTATATAAGTATAACCAATCACCTAACTACATATTCAACTAGACATCTAATATAATGGAATCAAAAAATATATAACAGTAGTCTAAAATTGACATTAATTTTAATATTCATATTTAAATTAAAAATTTTAAGACTATATTAAAACATTTTAATAAATAAAGGAACTAAATTAGTTATGATTAGACAAATATAAGAGAAAAAAATAAAAACTAAAGTTAACAAGAAAATATTAAAAAAACTCACATATATGACCAATCCTTTTGATTGTCATCGGAAAAAGAAAAAGTCTATTAACATTGAAACTGGGAATGAGATAAAAGTATGATCGATGAATAAAGTGCTTGATGTTGTTAATGACTTTTTTTTTCTCATCAAAATTATTCCATCAACCGAGTACATTTGAAATCAAACTCTTGTATTGATTAAACATGAAGGCAAACGAATAGATATAAAAGTAGATTTAAAATCACGTAACGCATAAATTATTTGGCATAAAATTGTTTACATTTAACAATTTTTTTTTGTATTAGTAAGATTATAATATTAATTTTAAATCTACATTAATATTTCTCTCGTAATATATGTACATATTTTTATGTTGATGAACATATATATTTAATAGCTGTTCGGTATCTGTCCCTTTCGTACAACGATCATTCTTCAATTGTAACTGGGAAAGCGGACTTCAATAGGATTGGTTCTTCTATAAAACTGAAGCAATCTCGACCGTTGAATTAATTTCATTACATAATAAATTTTCTTTTAAAATTTTAGTTGATGATTTTGGTGGTTGGATTTATAAACTGGAGAGAATCTGCAATCACTCCTCTGGAAGTAAAGGGAGAAAATTATAATAATAAAAATAAACGAAAATACTAAGTGGTATAATAGCCTTAATATATTGACATCCAGATAAAAAATACATATTCAAATACAATTAATTCATTTTATTAATATAATAAATATAAAAGGATTTGATGAAAATAAAAATAAATTTTAAATTATTATTATATTATTAAAGGCAGTTATATGTTTGATAGCATGATAAATGAAGTGGGAAAGGACAAGTGAAATAGAAGTAGCGTCAAATAATGCAGATAAATGTCGGATACTTACTTTTCCAATATAAACAGAGGCACAGGTTTGAAATAGAGGCACCCCAAAAACCAAAACAAGAGTTGAAGATAGATGAGTGATGGCATTCTCCATCTTCAAACTTCTTCTGTCATCATTCCTTCTCTGCACTTTCTTCCACGAACCCACCAATGCCCTTAGAAAGGCAGGGAAGCTCTGCATTGCATTTTTAGATCCTTCACTATGCTTTCTTATTCAACTATTTCATCACTTTTTATCTCTGTTCATTTGCTTTGAATGCTCTGTTTTCAGACCTACATTGTGTACTTGGGAGGACACTCTCATGGTCCTGACCCTTCTCCCACTGATCTTCAAACAGCCACGGATTCCCATCATGATTTACTTGCTTCTGTCTTAGGAAGGTAAAACAACAATGAAATTTTGTTCTGTCAAATAGATGTTCTGGGCACCTACGCATTAATTAAAGTGTATTAATTCAACAGTCATGAGAAGGTGAAGGAATCAATAATGTACTCTTACAATAAGCATATTAATGGTTTTGCGGCCCTACTTGAAGAGGAAGAAGCATTAGAGATTGCAAGTGAGGAAGCAAACATTAATTTTTCCTATGATGTGATTATTAGTATGTCCCTCATTTTCTGCTCATCTTGAAATCACATGATTTTGGTACAGAGAACCCAAACGTTGTTTCTGTTTTCTTGAGCAAAGAGCACAAATTGCACACTACCAGGTCATGGGATTTTCTTGGACTGGAAAAAAATGGAAAAATCCGTGCAAACTCCGCTTGGACCAAAGCAAGATTTGGAGAAAACACAATCATCGCTAATATTGATTCAGGTATGCATAAAACTTACTTAAAATTTGTTAGAGTACAATAATTTTGTAAGTTAAAACTGTTAAATAAGAAATAAATATCGTACATTTTCATGATTCTGCCTATCGTACATTTTTCATTAGATAATTTTATCATATATAATAATAATAATAATAATAATAATAATAATAATAGTTTTTTCAATATTTTTATGATTAACTGTGTACAGTAGCATTTGAAAAAAAAAAAAGCATCAACAAAACGTTTTTAAGGACAAATATTAATTTTAACTATATTTATAAAAATTAAAATTATTGTATCTTATTCTTTTTGTACAGAATGCTAAGAAAATAAAGTGCGAGAGGATAGAAATATTTGAACTCTAAATTAAATGGAAAAATAGGATAAAAGAAAATTTAAAAAAATTATTTATAGAAGCTTTTTTTATTCAATCAAGAAAGAAATGCAACATATTTATATGATATATGAAAAAAAAAATAGAAAAGACGATGTTGATAAAGCATTTAATATATAATTTTTTAATATCACCGCATAAAGAAGTTTAGCACATAAAATCCATGGTGCAAATTTCAGTATATAAAAAAAAATGACAAAAAGGCTTTCCTTACGCAAGTTTACTAGAAATATTTATAAACAAATATTACATAATCGAGTATATAATATGTTAAAAGTCGATTATATAATATTTACAATTTAAAATCACTAATTACTCATTCTTTTATCATAAAATTAAATAATTAAAAATATTATTAAAATAAAATATTAATAATAAGTATATTGATTCCATTTTTATTTAAACAATTTTATTATATTTTTTTCATTTATTTGATAACATGATTGTATTTTATATATTTTATATATAATAATAATAAATTAAAAAGACAAGGAGTAAAATATACTCTTGTTGATATTTAGATAAATATTAATTTTTACTTCCTTTATTTTTAAATATATGATATTTTGAAAAAGAAATTTGTTTTTAAATATATGCCGGATGTAAAATTTAAGATTGTATCATTAATTACTCTTTTTATTAATTATTTCTCTATCTTTTAATTATATTTACTACAAAATAAAAAATATGAGATAACTTTATTTAAGAGCATTTTGGTTGAAGAGAAAAGAGATAACTTTGGTTAAGAATATATTAGTTTGAAAAAGAATATTAAGATAATAAGAATATTAATAAATTTATTGAAAATAATAACAATTAATGCTCATATTAATTTGTATACTCAAATCTTAAACCTAATATATTATTTGTTAGTTTTATATTCTTTTCATATTAATATTCTTTTATCAAAAATCAAAATTACTTTTAATACTTTCTATCTTTTTTAACCATAAATATAATTAAAAAATTAAGATATAATTGATGAAAGAGTAATTAATATAATTTTAAACATTACAAAATTATATATATTTAAAAGTATTTTCTTTTATCAAACAGTAATATATTTTTAGCTAGAGAGTTATATCTATTTTAAAATATTTATATTTTAAAATATATGACATATGATGAGATTTTTTAAAATATATATTATTTATAAAATCTAATATTGTATTAATTATCTTTTATTAATTATATTTTTATGTTTTGAATCATATTTAGTATAAAGAAAAAAATATTAAGAATAAATATATTTTTAATATGTTAATTTTAAATAAAAGAATAAATAAGAGAGGATAGAAAAAAAAATTTGAGATAGAAGAGAGAAAAATAAAGGATGAATGAAAAGAGAATTTTTTTTGAAATTAATCTATTTAATAAAATAAATTAATATAAATTTTATTTTAATATTTTTTAAAAAAATATTATTTTAGGTTGATTTAGTTTAAGAAAGAAAAAAAATACACTCTCTTTTTAATAAATATTTTTAAAAATAATTTTTAATAATATAATATTATTTTTATTTTCACAAACCCTTTATTTATTGGTTGTTTAACAGGCGTTTGGCCCGAACACCCCAGTTTCCGAGACAAAGGATATGGACCCGTCCCATCAAAGTGGCGTGGAAATGGTGTTTGTGAGATCCACACTTTTAATACCACACAGAAGTATTTCTGTAACAGGTCCTTTTCCTATTTGAACATAATTTTATTTTAATAATTATAACAATTAAAATGAGTGATGGTACAGTGTGAACATTTCTATACCCAAGCCACAGGTACAAAAAATAATAATAATAATAATAATAATAATAATAATAATAATAATAATAATAATATTATTATTATTATTATTATTATACGAATAAGGAGAAATGTTTTCGATAAAATTGTTGTAAAAACAACATTTTGTAATAAAAATATTACATTTTTGTTTATTGATATGATATATTCTGTCCTAAAATATTAATATTACAATTTTTTTAATCCGAATCTAAAATCGAACGTGTCTCCTCCTAAATTTTTTTCATGTTTTAGATCAAACTAATCATATAATTCTCAAAATTTTATCTTGTATTATTATTATTTTTTTCATTGACGTGTAATGCAATTTAAGATTTATTTGAGAAATAAAAGTTAAATATTTTTATCGTTATAATTTTTTAAATTAAAAATTTAAGATATATTAATAATGTATACTTTTTAAAGAGTAAACAGTGTCTGTCTAACTCCGGAATCATGAATGAGCATATGCAGAAAGTTGATTGGAGCAAGAATTTTCTTGAAGAATCGGGAGGCGGAAGATGGGGAGATTGAGGCAAAGGTACGGAGCGCACGTGACTTCGTAGGGCATGGCACCCACACTCTGTCAACCGCCGGTGGTAATTTCGTCGGTGGTGCACAAGTGGAAGGTAACGGCAAAGGCACTGCTAAGGGAGGGTCCCCAAGAGCTCGCGTTGTGGCCTACAAAGCATGCTGGAATAAACTCGACGCAGGAGGGTGCCATGAAGCAGACATTCTACAAGCATTTGATCACGCCATTCATGATGGCGTGGATGTCATCTCTGCCTCTGTGGGTTGGGTTCATCCCTACAAGGAATCTCTGTTTACCGACGGTATTTCCATCGGATCTTTCCATGCAGTCGCCAGAAATATACTCGTTGTTTGCTCCGCTGGCAATAACGGCCCATCACCTTCAACTGTCACAAATGTTGCACCCTGGTCCTTCACCGTTGCTGCTAGCACCATGGACAGAGATTTTCTCAGCAACATCTCTCTCGGCAACAAACAAATTTTTCAAGTATCATATCACATTTCTATCTAAAATTACAACTATTTTCATATATATATATATATATATATATATATATCTGTGTGTGTGTGTGTGTTTGTTTTCATTGTTAACTTAGTTGGACCTTCAATGTATCAGGGTGCCAGTCTTAATCGAGGCTTGCCACCATCCAAGCAAAATTTCTATTCCGTTATTTTTTCTGCCGACGCCAGACTTTCTAATGCCTCTATTAATGATGCGTAAGCTCTATTTTGATTTTTCATTTCCCAGGTTCGGTTCATATATTTGTATTTGTTTCATTGGTGTATATTGGTGTAGTCGTGTTTGCAAACCCGGAACACTCGATCCTGCCAAAGTAAAGGGGAAAATACTGGTCTGCCTTCGAAGTGATAAATTACAATCTGTTAAGGAGGGCGAACAGGGTAAACTTGCCGGCGCTGTGGCAGTTTTTGTGCAAAATGATAAGCAAAGTGGAAATTTACTTCTGGCCGAGAATCAAGTTTTACCAGCTGCAAGTATCAGTGGAACGGATACTGATTATTTGAATTCCAGTAGCAAGTAGAGTTTATATATCATTCGTCCATTTTAAATGGCCTATTAGTGAAGCACTTGATTAATTTGTAAGTATGTTGCTGCAGGGCGGCGATGACAGCTTTCTTGAGTGCTGCCAAAACATATCTAGGAGTAAAGCCAGCTCCAATCATTGCTGGATTCTCATCCAGAGGTCCCAATGTCGTGCAGCCACTGATACTAAAGGTCTCTAATATAAATCTACATTTTGTTACATTCACCAACTTGGCAAGATGATTTTTCATTCTTACGGTACTTTGTTTCTTCTTAATTTCTTCAGCCTGACATAACTGCTCCGGGTGTGGGTGTAATTGCTGCTTTTTCACAAGCCGCGGGTCCTTCTAATCTTGCATCGGATACACGTAGGACTCTTTTCAATGTGCAACAGGGAACTTCTATGTCTTGCCCTCATGTTGCTGGCATTGCAGGTCTTCTCAAAACATATCATCCTACTTGGAGTCCAGCAGCTATCAAATCAGCTATTATGACTACTGGTACACTGTGCTTAACCAAATGTTGATGTTGCAACATGTTATATGGAAAAGCATTGGTGGCTTATTAACTACTATGCTCTTCATTAATTTCAGCTACAACTCTAGATAACACGAATCGACCGATTCGGAACGCATTTGATAAGGTAGCAACTCCATTTGAATACGGTGCCGGACACGTTCAGCCTAACCTTGCAATTGACCCTGGTCTCGTTTATGATCTAAACACAACTGATTACTTGAACTTCTTATGTGCTTCTGGTTACAACCAAGCTCTACTCAAGCTTTTTGGCAATTTGAAAATCTCTTACACCTGTCCCAAGTCTTACAGAATTGAAGATTTCAACTACCCTTCGATTACGGTGCATCATCCTGCGTCAAAGCCTATAAATGTTACTCGTGTTGTTACAAACGTTGGGCCTCCGGGCACATATGTTGTGAGTACTCATGGGCCCAAGGGGATTAAAGTTCTTGTTCAACCAAGTTCCTTGTCTTTTAAGAAAACTGGAGAAAAGAAGAGGTTTCAAGTTATTCTGCAGGCAATTTCAGTGCCCCGTGGGCTGCCTTTATTTGGGAATTTGTCTTGGACAGATGGCAAACACAGAGTAACCAGTCCGATCATAGTGCTTTAACCTTAGAAATTGCTCTTCTTATCATTGTTATGTTGTGATTCACATTGGTGTGTTTTTGCGATTGCTGTTGTTGAGGTTGTAATAAGGGTGTTTCCCACTGTTTTGTTGAACTCGATCACAAAACTAAGGTATGTTTAGAGTGTTGAAGTATTGAGGTTTTAGTTTGTAGCATTTGATCTATGTTTGTAAAAAACATAATCTGTATGGAACCCGTATCTTTGAATTCTTAATTGAGATCCATCTCTAATTTATATTCAATCATTTTAGACTCTAATATCATTTTGTTTTTGTTGCCCATTTCTCTTATTTCTGTTTTATCTCATGCAGTATCGTGTTTTCTTGAGTAACAAAGCAATTGAATTCTAGTTGCGAAAAACATTAAATGTTGCATTTAATGGTCCGACGACCATTTTCTTTACAAGTATAAGAAGATAGCTGAAGAAAATGAAGATCTTTGAAAAAGCCATAAACTGATATAAGCTTCTATGAATACCATACAAGACATCTATGGGCAAGAAAGATAGAAAAGAACGTGTTGCAACAAGTCTTAGCGGTCAATATTAAATTTTGAAATGCTTTGCTCTTAGTTGCATGGCAACAAGTCTTTGTGTTTAATCTTGAGTTTTGAAATTTGGTTGTACCTCCTGTGCCTCGACTACTTTATGCACTTAATTTCAAATCCACCTGTCATGAAAAAATATATTTTCTCTTTCTTTGCACATATTAACGTAGTTACGTTCTTATGTTTTCTTCTTTCTTCTTTCTAACTAATTTTCTTGTTTCTATGCAGGATACTTCCTGTTTCTAAAGGATGATACACATATTTACAGGACATGATAAAAGAAAAAGAATATGCAGAGAAACAAAAATAATTACAGAAAAAAGTAGATATTTTTCTTTTATTAATTTATAATTTTTTTCCAGTAGAAAATTATTATATTTATAAAAGTTGATTTTGTTCCTAAGAAAATAATACGATCCTAAATTAATTTTGGATTAAAGGGTGATAAGAAGTTATAAAAATTAGTGTTTATCTTTATATATTCATCTATAAAGATATATAATTATTGACTCTTTACTCTAATTCTAGTAGTTAATTTTTTGGTTAAAATTTAAATGGCTGGAGGACTTCGTTCTAACCCATACTTTAGTTGTTTGGTTAGTGAGAAAACAAAAAACCTACTTGGACAATTTGTATACAACTTTTTTGTGTTATTTTATTATTATCTCCATTTCAAAATAACTAACAGCTATTTAAAAAGTTTAATCAAATATTATTATTAAAAACACTTAGGTTATTTTAATCAAAATATTTCTAAAATTAAAATATTTATTATTATTCTTAATACATGTACAATAATCTTAAAATGCATGTGTAAAAGAGGTAGTATGTATTTATTATGTGTTTAACTAAGTTTGTGTTATTTATCCTGCCTTTGTTATTTACTAACATTGTGTTTCAAATAAGTTGTTTATTTTGTTTTCACAAAGGATTTTAAAACAACAATTTTATTACCTAGTCTTTCTTCAAAGTTGTTTTAAAGTGTTGTCTAATTAGAAGAAACATTAGTTTATATATATAAAAAAATTTAAAAGAAAGATTTGAAACATTAGTTTATTATTATATAGTTTTGATTTAATTGTTTTTAATCTTAAAATTTGGATAAATAATTTTTTAGTCCATTAAATTAGAAAGTTATTTGAATCCATCAAATTTAATAAAATATATTTCAGTCCCTAACATTAAATTTGAAGATTAAAAAGAATTTTAAATAAATATTTTAGTTCTTGAAATTTATTTTTTAGAAATTAACATCATACTCTTTTAATTTTAAGAGACGGTTAAAATCGAGCGCTTAACACTAGGCCAAAAACTATAATTATTAGTCGAGTGCAATTGTTTTTACTTTAATAGTCCAAGCATCACGATTCGATTGTGACTTCAGCTCACTTAGCCTTCGCCACAAAACAATTGTGCAACCCGTAACAGATACTATTTTTTAATATTTTAAAAAAATAAAATCAAAATTACTGTAAATTTTAGGGACTACAAATATAATTAATTTTAATTTTTTTATTAAAATAGTGAACTTTTTTCATACACGTAGTCATAAACTCTTTAATGTTTATATATCCTAAAATAACCAAGCAAACGACTATTTTAGTCTCTAGAATAGAGAGCATTTTCATATTAATTCTTATCATTTTTAGCTCTAAACATATGTTAATATTATTATTTAACTCACTGTTTTTTTTCAAACACGAGATTGTCAATTTGCATTTTAAAATTATTTATTTATTTATTCTTTCAATTTAGAAATTAGAGCTGAATTGATAAATAAAATATATATCATGGTTAAATTTATACAATTTTATCTTTTCAAGTTATATAAATGTTTAAAAATATACTATAATAAATATTTATTCCGTCTAAAAAGAATTTAGGCAAATTAAAAATAGTAATATTATTTATTAAAATAATTTTACTCTCCCAAAAATATTTTATTTCATGAAAATATATTTATTTAATGTAATTTATTTAGAAATAAATTAAAAATAAAATTTATTTTTTATTAAAAATGAGAAAATAAAATTTATAAAAATTCTTAAAAAGTAAAAAAAAAATAATCATTAGTTAAAATAAAAATGAAGTACACGAACTCTTTATCTTTTAATTAGTCCTTCCCATATATTTTTGTGCAAATAAATAAAGACTCGTTAATAAAATATCTAAAAATCTATATTGATATTTGTTCTTGTAACATAATAAGACTTATATAATTTAAGAGTTTTTTTAACATTTTTTAAGAAAAAAATAAAAAATAAAAATAATGAAAATTGATCAATATTATTATAATCAACTTGACATCAATATATTTTTACTTTTAGAAATAAAATATTAACATAATGATATCACCGAAAACAATTCGTTAATAATAAAATATAACAATATGTATATATTTAATTAAATAAAATCGTAGCTTTCTAAAAAATTATTAAAATAATTAAAATAAATAAATAAAATAATGGATGTAAGAGTGTTATTATAATGAATTTCACACCAAAGCACTTTTACACTTTTACTTTTAGAAAGAAGATTAGCGTTGGAACCCCCAAGAATAGAGAGTTTTAGTTAAAATATAACTTGCGCTCAATATATATATATATATATATAAAACTTCCTAGAATATTATTAAAATGATTCAAAAATAAATAGTAAAACAATTAATTTGAAGTCCTAACGTCTATTTAAATTGTTCCATTTTCAAAAATACTATTTTTTTTCAGCTTTTTTTAAGGAAGTACTTTTTGTATATAGTTTTCTTTAAAAAAGAAACAATTACTTCTTAAAAGTAAATCATTCCCAAATATGTTGTTATATTATTGATAGTTTAAGAAAGGTTTAAAAGCAACTTTAACAATAACATCTTATCTTCATTTTTCTATTAAGATCGGTATCTTGTCATAAGAGGTGAGAAAGACTAATGACATGTGAAAAGAGTATCGTCAACACATTATTTATTGGACAAATAAAAGTAATATATATATAATTTTAGAAAATAAATAAATGAAGATACTCTTTTCACATCATTTTTTACTTTTGATCCAAATTAAATCAAAATTTGGAAATATTATATTGCTTTACTCCTTTTAATTTTTGGCTGGTCACCCACTTTTTAACAAAACCGTATTAATGAAAAATAATAAAATAAGGTAAAGGAACAAGAGGATGCTTAAGAAGTCAAAATTTGTAGAGTAAATGAATAAAATACGAAAAAAAAGGGACTTTTAAAAAAAGAAGGCTAAGGAATCTTTTTACGCTGGGCATTAAGAATTTATATAAAACATGATACCTGTAATTTTACTTATCTTATTAATCTATTTTTTTTTAGAATTTAAGTATGAGTTTAAAGTTTTATATAGAATAAAAATGAAATAATTTATAAATGAAAAATATCTATAACCTAATAATATTTTAAGAATAATTTATAAATGAGAAAGATCCATAATCTAATATTTTAAGATTTTAAATTAAAAGTAGTATTATATTTTCTTATATAATTGACTTATAATTTATTTATGATAATTTAATATAAATAAAAAAAATTATTTATGATTGACCTATAATCTATTTGTGAGAATTTTTCTAAAAATAATTAACAATTCTTGTTGGTTGTTAGAAATGTGAAAAGAATCTATAATTCAATTATATTATGTTGATTAGTTTGGTAAATGATCTATAATTCAATTATATTATAACTTCATCTTATTCTAAATGGATTGTCAAGTAAAATATTCAAACGAAAAAAATAAATAGTATATTTAAAATAAAATAACATAATATATAATATCTCAAAAAAATAATAAAAAGAAATAGTAAAATCATACCTCACGTGAAAGTAACCGATTATTTCAATGAACCTTATATAAAAATAAAACATCTTTAAAAAAAAAAAAAGTAAAACATGATTTAAAATAGTATGTTAAAAAATATTACAATTACTAAAAGAAAATTTATATATCAAACACTAGTAGTGCAATCATAAAAGTTTTTAATATTATATGTCAGCTATAAATTAATTTTTCCTAGCTATTTCATTTCCCACGGAAATATCAAAGTATAAATAAAGATATTTTTCTCATTTGATAGACGTAAATCAGCATTCGTTGTTCATAATCCAAATAAACTGTTACGGAAAGGAAGACACTTTTGCATAAAGAAACATTTGTATGATTTGGAAATGAAATGGAAAGCTCTATTTTTTTTTTTATTATTATTATTATTATTAATAAGAAGACCCAAAAGTCCAAATACCTTACACACATACTTTTTCTTTACACCCTATCACTGACTTTGAGTCAAGGCAAAAGTATTTAAAAGACTCTTTGATTGCATGAAACCTTTCATTATCTTTGTTTAATTTACACTTTTAAAAGCTTAAATAAAAAAAATGATTTCTATCACTTTTTATTTATATATATATATATATATATATATA